ATGTCTCCTCGGGCGTGGGGGTGGCGGGAAATGGCCGCCGAGGGCACCATCTTGCGCCTCTGGGCAGTGCGCGGGCAGGCAAAGAGCAGGCAGTCTCGGTGGCCCCTTCTCGCCATCAAGTTTTTGGGTAACTTTGTCAGCCTTATTTGCCTGTCCCCAAATTACTGCAGATAAGAAGAGAGTGGAGTCCCGTCCAGAACATGTCCTGGACGTCGGTGCCAGGCGCCTGAAGATAGTCATCCGGCCGGGAGAAGGGCACCTGAGCCAGAGCCCGTTTACAGCACAGGCCTCCACCAGCCACTCCCTCCCTTCTGGCTCTTCCCCAGCTCTGCAGAGGTTCACGGAGCAGCAGGCAGCCAAAGGCCACGGACACACGGCCGGAGAAGCCATTACCAAAAAGGTACATCAGGAAGAGCAGTAAACAAGCAGTGTCATAACCTGCCCCACTTGTAGTTCCAGGAGTCCTTTGCGTTGCTTTATGTTGCACTTAAGTGTTTCATGCCAAGCAAATGTCAGTTACATTATCTTACACAGTAAAATGGACCACAGGTCAGCCACACGTCAGCAGCATGTTCTCCAGTTTGGCTTTGGCACATGCCAACCCCTGTTCCCTACAGCAGCACCCTGGCAGGTTTGGGGGGATAGTATGCACCAAAGACTGCTCCCAAAGGTTGAAAAATTGTATGAGATTTGGATCCTGTCCTGCTGTACAGACCTCTAACACTGTTTCAGCATGTTTTACACCTTCAGACAGCCCAAATTACTTTCGTCTCTTACCTCAGTGTTAAAAAATCTGCTCTGATGGAATGTAGCACAGCAAACACTATTTCAGACACTTTGAACTAAAAGTTGTGCAGAAAAGATCAGCTGTGTGCTGGGCACATGGTGTAGGGCCAGGCTACATGTTACATAACATGGATGTGGCTCTACCAAGACACCGATATCTGGCCCAGAGGGTTTACTGTTTTGCACAGATGTAGCTTTAGAGGTACAGCATGTGCTACTATAGTGGTTATCTGACATCTGAAGCAGTATACTGCAAATTTCACTATCCTTCTGTCTGTGCAAAGTAGAGATGTGAACATGTTTGTTATTATTCTTCAGAATCCCATTTTGTGTCTTAACCCTGAGTTACTAAAGCATCACTTTTGGGAATTTTTTAAAGAAAGGTTGTAAGGGAAAACTAAAAAGTAATATAATTAAAGAACGATGTAATGTAACTTATATGTGCTGTTAAAACATGGCATGTATCTGTCACCTGACACTAAGGAGAGGACACATTCTTTTGGGTATTGTTGGCAGAGTGATGATGGCACTAAGTTGTAGTTACAAGTAAAGCACTGAGTTTTTTAAACAGGATTTTGTGATTAGCGTAGCATAGAATTAATGATGAGAACAGCACAGGATTTCTACAAGCAGAATTGGTGTACAATTTTATCAGTAGTGTAGCACTTAATTTTACAGCACAGCTTAGCTTATGTTTTCTAATCACCTAGACCCTCTGTAAATCATGTAAAATCTTTATACTTGTCTTGCTGTATTGGTATACCAATCATCTAGACTCGAAAAACCCATAAAAGAATACAAGTCATTCACTCAGTCCTTGGAGGAAGCAGAGGGTAGTGGAGGTGTCCCTGACCACTGGGGATCACGGGTCTCACTGTCCAGCAGCAGTTGCAGTCCAGGTTCCCACTTAGGACTTGTAACTGCTTGATTTTGTAGACAGTGCTTTGCATATGGTTACGCTTCTCTGTTCTATGGTGGGATCATCACCACCTGGTGCCTAGGACCTTCAAGGCTGGTAAGGAGGGGAGTAGTTGGCCTGGTGCCCAGGAACCTTGAGGACAATAAGGAGGGGAAGAAATCTGTTTTCTTCATCTTCTTGGTATGCAGGACCTTCAGGGACTGATAATGAGGGGAAATAGGACTAATATGTGACCAGCTCAATCACAGAGAATGGTCATCTACCTTATAAAATGGCATTAGTTATGCTAACCATATTGCTAGAGGTCAGAAGCAGAGGGTACTGGTCACAGTCGCAAAGTAAGTAGCAAAGTTACTGTCTTTGTTCCTGAAATGCTGATGACATTAACAAATTTCATTTTTGCTGCTGACTTAGAAGCTGATTGCTTTACTTAGGTGTGTGTAATGTCAGTATACATGACAGAAAAGAAACATTGTGTGCAAATGTCCACAGTAATCTGGCCCTACTGAGATGTACAGAGCTTTTCCTTACTCAAAATGTAGAAGCAGCAGGCAGAGAACCACAGAAAAAACAAATAATTGGTATCTACTTTTCTTCTCTTTAGATATTTCTTACAGTATCTGCAACTTTGAATACCAGCATGTTCACTGAAGAGCAAAGAGAGAAAATCACCATTATATGTCCAAATTTAAAAAGAGAAGAAAATCCTGATATCGCTGGCTCTGAGAAGTTGACAGGCGATTTTACAGATATTGAAAAAGCTTATCACTACTTTAAGGATATTCTTGCAGGCAACAACCCAAACCGTGGTTTTTCACATTCTGAAAGTAGGAATAGTTTGAAGGATGAAAATGGTCTGAATACTGAAGAGGTGAATGAGCTTACAGTTCTGTCAGCTCTCTATGAATATTTCAGTCATACCTGCAAAGAACAAATCAAACTACTACGGGAACTTTTTGGAGTGCGTATAAGAAGTAAAGAATGTCACAATGGAACCACATCAGTATGCTTGATTTCTGATAAAAGTCCTGCATCAATACAAGAAGCTAATGATTTTTTTATCGGAACTTTTCAGAAAAGTGTAGAAGGTCTGAAACAGGAGAAAATTCCCATAATGAACAGTTACACATTAAATGAAACAATAATGAAATTAAATGCTAGGTTCAGTAATCTTCTCGCCAAAGAGGAAGGGAATCAGTTGCTACTCCGTGGTCCAGCAAGCGAGATTTTAGAGGCCAAAAAATTTCTAGCAGAGAACTGTTCTAGAGAACAGCCTCTTATAGAGAACAGTCCAGTGGACAAAAATGTGAAGATATCGTCTGAACTGTACAAATACAGGAATGGAATTGAAGTTGATGCTTCTGTGTTTAAATTGTTGGAAACAATATTAAGCAGAGTAATAGAAGACATTAAAGACAAATTTGATACAGCAATAGAAAAGAAAGACATATCACGTGGTCACAGGATGCTCATAGTATTTACGCCTAAGAGCAAAACTTTTGATATGTCTTCACATGCTACTGAAAGTTTCATCAGTGAATTTCAGAGTGCCTCTGCAATGCTAACAGAAAAACTCATCAGCTTGAAGCTTTCAGAAGACCAGAAGAAAAGATTAAATATGCTACTTAATGGAAAAGTATTGGAAGACCTGCATGTAAAACTTAAGAAAGAGGAGGACAAATTCATCTTAAGTGGTTTACCAAACCATCTTTATGCGGCCGAAAATCACATTATGAACCTTCTTGACATTACAGACTCAACACAAACTAAAAATAGGACATCACTGTCCTCTGATCTCAGCTACCAAGAAGCTACGGTAGCATCTGAGAAGAAATATAATTTCAGGCAAAAGAATAGTTTTTCTTCTGAAGGACAGGCTAAGGCAAAGACAGAAAAAGACGACGAAGATGTGTGTCCGATTTGCATGGAGAGATTTAGTAATAAGGAAATACTGGAAAAGTGCAATCATGCGTTTTGCAAAAGTTGCATTAACCAGGCCATGATTTATAAGCCATGTTGTCCGGTTTGCGGTATGTTCTATGGACCCATGAAAGGAGACCAACCAGAGGGAACAATGTCAAGTATAACATTGTCTTCATGTCTTCCTGGTTATCCCAGTTGTGGTACTATTATGATTACATACAATATGTACAGTGGTATTCAAACTGTAAGTATATTTTAAGATTCATAGAAGATATTTTTCCCACAGCAAAACCAATAATGGATATAAAATTAACATTTCTAAAATCATTTTAATGCATGTCCAGGAAAGACATTCCTTTGTTTTATACAAATCTGCAAGTATTTAATTCAGTATTTTTGGGTGTGATTAAGTAATACAGTAGGAATTAAATAGTTAAATGGTAGCCACCCATTTTATATGCACAGGGACAGAGCTACCTGTCTTGTGCTTTGGGAGTAACTGAACTGAAATCTATGAGCAATATTATGTAAACAAAATCCTGCAAGTGTAGTGAGGATTGTCTGAGGCATTCTCTTAGCTGCTGTCACCAATGGATGAAAATGAATAGCAAGCTGGCTTGTAAGCTTTCCAGGTGAGAAATCATCTTATGTTATGTGCTTAGAGTTATGACTAGAACTGAAGATGGGATGCTTGAAAAAGTCGGGGGTGGGGTGACATGCATTTGAGAGAGCAAAAGAAAAACCATTTAAAAATAACAATGGGTGCATGAGTGGTGACAAGAAAATGTGAATGAAAAATGAAGGAAATTATCTAATGAGAGAAAAAAACCTCAAAATCAGTCGTGCTATATCCTTCTGAATCACACAGGATAAAAAGTATTGTGAAAGCTGGGATGTGTAATTTTCACACTTCAAAGCATTTATGATATAAAATGTGGTTTTGTTTTGTTTTTCTACAAAACAGAAAAGCCATCCAAATCCAGGGAAACGTTATGCTGCAACTTCTCGAACAGCGTATTTACCTGACAATAAGGAAGGGCGAGAAGTTCTGTCGCTCCTCAAAAAAGCCTTTAACCAAAAACTGATTTTTACAGTGGGACGGTCACGTACTACTGGTGCAGAAGGTGTTATCACATGGAATGATATTCACCACAAAACTTCCATGACTGGAGGACCTACCTAGTAAGTAGTCGTCTTTTTATGTAATTTTATTGCTACTCAGATGTGTCAGGAAGGCTACCCTGAATATTTTCCCTGTTAGAGCTCTCAGATTTTGTCACTAACAAAGTGATTGGGGACTGCTCTATGGATCCAGACTTGAATCACCTACACCAATTTGGACAGTTGGAACAATGATGAGCTTAGTCTTCTGTTGCCCCTCAGGCCACTCATTCACCAGTGAGTTGTGTAAAGCACCTACTCAGTTAATAACTGCTCTGATGATAAACTACTTCTAGTACAGGACAGGACAGCAAGCTCTTGATAGCAGCTAAAGTGGAACTCCTGATCTCAGCCTCTTCTGTTACTTGCTGTTTTTCACGAGGAGATGCTGGTCCATTATGATCCCCGTAAAGACAGCACTCAGACTCTGTAAAATGTGATTTGGAGTTCTACTTACTAGAGCTATCAACAAGAAGAAAGGGAATGGGTTATAGATATGGTCGTGTCCTGTCAGATACTAGGAACCCCAAGTTGCGCAGCATTCAGTGGGCCTGCGATCAGAGCACGGGATGCCATGCCAACCCTGATCATAGAAAGGGTTAACCCATTTTGGTTGTTCAAGCTATTACAGGATTTTCTTAGTAAAAGACAACTCTATTCAGCATTTCTTGAGGACATGCTGCACTGCTAGATAAAGGCAAGGACACGCAGGTGGTGTAATCACCAGTAGTGAGGGGGAGCTGCCTGCAGCACCGCTCTGCCAGAGCCCGTCCCACAGCCGCAGCTCGCACGCAGCACAACACGGGCCCGGAGGCCACGCTGAACATGCAGCACAGCACAGGCTGGGCCTGCCCCGGTTAACTGTTACGTAGATCACTAATTCCTCAATGAATAATGGTCTCCCAGTCAGGATCACTGTATTAGATTAATAATGTATTAATGCACATACGGTTGACTGTTCCTAAAGCTATGATTAACTACAGGTTATATCAGTAAACTTTGGGTCCTGGAAAAATTCTTACAGAGACAAGAAGGAATCTTGGAACAGTCCTTTCAAGCTTGTTGCAGCCTCTCGGGGGCAGGTGTCTTCTTGCAAGATCTCAAGATTTGTGTCTAGATCCTCCTTCCTGGGCTAGAATCATAAAAACCCAAAAAGCACCAGTTTAAGTGATCCTCCCCCCCCTCTGCCCAAATGTTCTCCCTAGTTATCACTTGCTTCATACACACTTTTGCTGGTGCACCACCTAAAATCCAGAGGTGCCATTATTTTCATGTTTTGAATGCTCACTTGGATATGTTTCAGGTCTGATTTTTGGAAAGATGTATACCCAAGCGCCCTATCATTTTTAAGTGAGACAGCAGGCAGCTTTGAAAATCAAGTTCTTAGTGTCAGTTTGGACAACCAAATTCAGCAGTCCCTTAAGTTTTTAGCTTTACCTTGTCTGTACTGCCTTTCCAACCTGCAAAATAGGGTCTGTTTTCTCTACGGAGCAATAAGTAAATGCGTAAAATTTGTAATGTGTTTTAGGAGATTTTCACAAGAAGGCTCTAGAACTGTCAGATGCTTCATTGCAGAAGTAGCCCAAACAATTATTTTCTTCTTCTCCTAGTTTTGGTTACCCTGATCCTGATTATCTGAAGCGGGTTCGATCAGAATTGAAAGCCAAAGGAATTGAATAAAGACATTTATCAACTGTTGGCTCTGAAGTGTAATAATTGAACACATACCAGGTAATTTACTATTTAAGGACTAAGAAGAAAGAAGTCAACTTTATTCAGCTGCTGTACTAAGAAGAGAGAAGTCAACTTTGTTCAGCTTCCGTACTAAATAACTTGTACTTTGCAGTCAGCTAAGAAAAGTGATCTTTCATCAAATGATACATGTTCTTTACACATAATTTACTTTCTTGAATAACACTTCCCTGTGTGAGTAACCTTTACAGAATTTGGGTGTTGCGAGTGCAGCATCAGTACTTGTTGCGCTTGTCAAATACCACATTGTGTGTCTTATTTTACCAGTGAGTCTGATCTGCATTTTTTCCCACAAGTCTTCAGTCTGATCACCAAAAATAACACATACACTACTAGCTTTTATTCAATTAAATGCTTGGTTTAGCTTCGTGTTACTACTTCTTTCATCATGGATAGCATTGTGTAACCCATCTGCTGCAAAATTTTTATGCAGCAGTTACAGTATCAGCTGTGACCGAGCTATGATCTTTCGCTTCTTTTCCTTTTCAGGGTAGAAATAGTATTAGTGGTTTGGGTCTTAACCATGAAATTAGTATGGTTGATGTATGAGGGGGTACATGGATGCTGCCGTGTTTTTAACCCTGCAGAAGTGCTGAATGCGCAGAGCCACCTTAGAGCAATTGTAAAGTAACAGTGCCTGTGGTTGGCTCTGGTAATGGGGCCCTGGTTCTGTGCCTGCCATCATGCTTAAATACAATTTTTAACTTAGCTCTGGAACTATAAAACTTCCACATTCCAATATTCTTCCCATTGTTTCCAATATATAGTTTGTATTATAAAAATACTTTGTTGGTACTCTGCATTCTGTAATTAGGCTGCTGATTACCTTTGTGGTGGTGTGAAACAAAATAGCTTTCTCTTAGTTCAACCAACTGTTAGTGAGTTAAAAATATTTCGTTAGGCTGTTGAATATAACCAATAAATAAAATATAAAAATACCATCTGCTTAGTTCTGCATTCTTCTGTACAGGTTTTTCTCCTATTTTAGATATGTACAATTGTGTATTTTTTTAAATTTAGGAGCTTCCCAGCAATGCCATGATTTGGGGTGATTTGGACCCCCATGCCACCTCTCTTTTTTTTTTTTTTTTTTTTTTTTTTAAAGATTCCCATACTGTGAATAGGAAGTACTACTTTACCACCTTGACTTTCAGATTTCTTAGTGTTGGGGACTGTTTTGGTTTCCATGTAGGTTGGGATGTCTTTCCTACTGTGGTTTTGTTTTACTGTATTTGTTTCCATGTTTTACACTGTTTTAAGCTTCCTCCCTTTTCTGTGCTTTAAGATACCAACTTCAGTTGTTCCTAAATGACCATGCTTTTCTGCACACTGAAACAAGCTGTGAAGATCAAGTCTCCTCAGCTTATTTTGGTCTCTCATTTCACTTTCTGTCCCAGTAAGCCAGTTCACCGATGTCATACCCCTATCTGGTAACTCACCACCTTCCATTTTATCTGTGGCAGTTTTGCAGCAGAGTCCTGTTGACACTGAAAGCTCCCAACTCTTTATCCTATATAACCAGCTGTACAGACCTTTACTTTTGAATCATAGCTGTACAGTTTAGGAAAAATCTGCCTGATTTGCAGTCAAAAGACAGGTATTTTGCCTGGGTTACAGCAAGGGAGGAGAGCGTGTGCCTAGGATAACCATTGAGAGAATGGATTAGGAAAGCAAAGATTAATTGCTCACTGAGAAACAAAAACATGCCCATGGGTCTGCTTGGCAGCCTGACTACACCTGTATTTAGCTGACGTCCACCCCTGCTTAATTTAATTACATTTGGTTGTTATGCATTTCCTCAGTGCACTTCCAGTGAAGTTAGGGGGGGAAATTTTCATTTATCTACTATTTTAGTGTCTCATATTTGGGCACATTAGTAAAATACACAGCAAAAAATAGCTGAAAACTAACTTTTTCAAGGGGAAGCCCTAAGCACTCGGTTGGCAATGTCTCAGCTAGCTGACACCTTTGTCTGAGGAAAATACTCTTTCTCTGCAATCCTGCACAGTTGTATTTCTGATGGAGAACGACGGAAACGGGTAATTTTACTTTGTGGCACGAGTTGATTCGGAAGGGTAACGCAGGGAGAGCGGGGTGTGCCTGACGCTCGGGCTCTGTGAACAGCTGCATATGTGAAACCGGCTTCTCGCAGGACCCTGTGCCAGCGCAGCACCACGTCTGCGATCCCCTGGGCCAAGCGGCCGGTGTGACCCGCGGTGCTTCCCGATGGCGGCGAGGAGCCGCGCCGGGGGACCGGGACCTCCGGGCGACTCGCTCGACCGCGCCCTCGGGGGCGGCCCGCCCTCCTCCGTGCCCCCCCATCCCTCCGGGGCGGGGCGGGGCGCGGCGCCGCTGGCCTCTTCGAGGAAGAAACGAAAGTGAAAGCGGTGGG